ATAATTGGCTATTTTTCTGTCCTGTTTTGACCCCCCTCATCAGAATGCTCTGTTTGAATTGGCGTGGTGGATTGTAGATTTAGAAGTAAACGCCCACTGCTATGATTGGCTAACAGTTGTGTATGTTTGACAGCCTACATAAAAACGCATAAATACTCAGTACATATCAAACGATCTGTAATAACAGATAAAGCAATAGTGACCACGTAATAAAAACAGTTACTCACACTTGTGTGTTGTGACATTACTGTCTGATCCAATATAGTCGGCACAGCATAATCTTTTAGTTTCAAACTTTCTGAAAATCCTGCATTGAATTGTGCTTTGTTTGTAAACGAATCCACAGTAAAATAAAGTGAATAAAGGACCAAGTTCTTACTGACGCATCTGGCATTTCATTAAAAATAAAGTTAATTCACTCTTTCCTAATATTGCGATCAGAAGGAAGGCAATGCAAATACTGTTTCTAAAGCTTGGCTCTGCACAGTGTCTTATTGTCTTCAGAGCTATTTTTATAGTTTGATTTCTGCGTAAACCTGCATTTGCCCTTCTCATTATTTACCCACTATGTGCGTGAATCAGTGGGCGGGGCTAAACAGGCAGTGATGTAGAAGCAGGCGTTGATCTTCTTCTGCGGAGGCGGTGTTTAGCCACACTATTACATCATAAAATGGTACATTTCCACAACCTGTTGTGTTGGCAAACTGGCTTCAATATAACCTTTTTTTAGAGTAACGAGAAAGTTTTGAGTTCTGAAACTTACAGGATGTTTTTATAGTACAATGACCTCTTATATGTCAAAAGATTAAGGGCATTTTCATTTCTCAGTTCAGACCCCTTTAAAGACCCCATTAAATCTAAATGAGAATTTTGTGGCTTTTAGTTTTTCAGGTCAACTGTATACTTGTCACGTTTATGTTCTGTTATGGTTTAGATTTTCCTGTATTTCTGTTCTACATTCTTTGACCTAGTTTCCCTTAGTCCCCTTGATTAGTTCATTAGTTTCCACCTTTGTTCATTAATCATCTTATTAGTCCATCGTTTGGTTTAGTATTTATAGCCCTGCCTTTCCTCAGTTTCTTGTTCCTGTCTCCGTCTTTGAAAGTGATTGTTTTCTCCATTTCTCTCACATGGATTTATTAAAGACTCTGTTAGTTTGACTATCTGCCTCCTTCGAGCTCCTTTCCCCAGCAACCCGTGACAATACTGGTGTGCTCCTTTTTGTTGACTGGATTTAGCAGATACACATTAACGATCTCTTATGAAGAAGTCTCTTATGGTCAGCAAATCTATATTTATTTGGTCAAAAATGCAGTAAAAACAGTAATATTGTAAAATATTGCTACAGTACAATTTAAAATGACTGTTTTCTGTTTGCATACATTTTAAAATGAAACTTATTCCTCTGATGGCAAAGCTACATTTTCAAATCACTACTCTTTAGTGTCACATGATCCATCAGAAACCATACTTATATGCTGATTTGCTCAAGAAATATTTCTTATGATTATCAATGTTGAAATAGTTGTGTGGCTTAATATATTTGTGGAAACCGTGATACATTTTCAGAATACTTGAATTAATAGAATGTTTAAAAGAACAGCACTTATTTGAAATAGAGATCTTTTGTAACATTATATATGTCTTTACTGTCACTTTTGATTTATTTAATGTGTAAAAAATATATTACTGACCCCAGACTTGAACAGTACATGTTTAAAATTTATATTCTTCCTCTCCTGGGAAAAACAGAACAAAAATATTGATGACTCATCCTGTGCTCCACAGATGTTTGTTAGATCAGATGGTCTCTAGCAAATCATGGTTCATAGTTGTGATGTAACTTATGTATTTAATTTTTTTAAGGAACAAACCCAAAATGTCCTGCTTCTAGTTTCAGTAGGAAATATGTCAACATAGGAAAGAACGCTGATCTCGTAAAAGTAACATCATGAGGTCTTAAAAGTCTTGAAATGGTATTCTTCACTTCCTTAAAGGGATACTCCACCCCAAAATGAAAATTTTGTCATTAATCACTTACCCCCATGTCATTCCAAACCCGTAAAAGCTTAGTTCGTCTTCGGAACACAATTTAAAGGGGTCATATGATGCTTTTTTAAAGATCATTATTTTGTGTATTTGGTGTAACAGAATATGTTGACATGCTTTAATGTTCAAAAAACACATTATTTTTTTGAAATTACACTGTCAAGGTCCAGAAAAGTATGAAAGACATCGTCAGAATAGTCCATCTGCCATCAGTGGTTCAACCGTAACGTTATGAAGCGACGAGAATACTTTTTGTACTCAGAGAAAACAAAAATAACGACTTTATTCAACAATTCGTCTCCTCTGTGTCTCTCCGCATCACCGTATCGCCATTTTGGAGAATATCCACTGAACGCAAGCAGCGTAATTTACTGGGCAGTCAATGGGACAGTCACAAGCCTCCCGGTTTTCATCCAAAATATCTTAAATTGTGTTCCGAAGACGAACGAAGCTTTTACGGGTTTGGAACGACATGTGGGTAAGTGATTAATGACAAAATTTTCATTTTGGGGTGGAGTAACCCTTTAATGTGACATATTTACAAGTGAATGGAATATTTAACAAGACAAATGTGAAGTATGGGACTTGATTTTATCCATCCAGAATTGATTGAGAAGTTCAAATGGATCCAGAAGCTTGGAGGGAAGAAGTTGAAAGCCAAGATGGCACGGTGATTTTGCACAAAAAGGATCATTGTTTCAGAGATTATCCTATTTTTGCAAACATGTTTTCTTTAGAATACCGTGCACCAATGAATCATGTTCAATACATTAAAAAAGTAGTAAACTGACTTTAACTGCAGATGACTGAATTGTCTTGATTACAGTACAGTCTAGCCTTTCAGTAATTAGTTTTTAACTGTTTTGTTATGACAACTGAAAATTTAGA